TGGAGATAGGGATCTCACTTTGTTGCCCAGACTGGAGTGCAGTGGCATAATCTTGGCTCACTGTTACCTTGGCTTCCTGGGCTCAACCTCAGGCCGTCCTCCTCCCTCAGCCTGCCTGGTAGCTGGGACTACAGGTGCATGCCAACACGGGTGACTAATTTTTGTAGAGTTGGAGGTCTCCCCATGTTGCCCAAGCTGGTCCTGAACTCCCAGGCTCAAGTGATCCGTCTGCCTCAGCCTCCTAAAGTGCTAAGATTATAGATGTGAGACACTGTGCCTAGCCACAACTGTTTCAACAGTTTGATTATGATGTGCCTTGGTGTCATTTTGTTCATGTTTCTTCTGCTTGAGATTCATTGAGCTTCATCTATGGGCTTATAGTTTTTATCAAATTTGGAAAACTTTTGGCCTTTATTTCTTCAAATATATTTTTTCCTTTTCTGTCTTTTTTTGGGACTGTGGTTACTTAGTTTATATTTTACCTCAAATCTGGCTGTGCTCATATTTTTTCAGACTTTTTTTTCTCTCTTAATTTGGGATGTTTTTCTATTTCTCTGTGTCTCTAAGGTCATTCATCATTTTGTCTCCAGTACCTAATCCTCTGCTAATTCTACCCAGTGAAATTTTCATTTCAGATATTTTATTTTTATTTATTTATTTTTGAGATGAAGTCTTACTCTGTTGCCCAGGCTGGAGTGCAGTGAGGTGATTTCAGCTCACTGCAACCTCTGCCTCCCAGGTTCAAGTGATTCTCCTGTCTCAACCTCATGAGTAGCTGGGATTACAGGTACACACCATGCCCGGCTACTTTTTGTATTTTTAGTATAGATGGGGTTTCACCATGTTGATCAGGCTGGTCTTGAACTACTGATCTCATGATTGCCCACCTCAGCCTCCCAAAGTGCTGGGATTATAGGCATGAGCCACTGCGCCTGGCCTCAGATAATTATTTTTCATCAGTTTTTGTGTCTTCTTATTCTCTTTTTCATTATGTTCATGGTTTCCTTTACATTTTTGTTTATATGTTATGATATTTATAATAACTGTTTTAAAATATCTTATTCTGTTATCTGTCATTTTGGATTCTGTTTCTATTGACTGGTTTTTCTCATGTTTATAGGTCACATTTTTGTTTCTTCACATTTACAGTAATTCCTTTAATTGAATTGTGGACATTGCAAATGTTATATTGTTGAGTGTTAGGATTTTATCTCCTTCTTTAAACCTTTTTGAATTTTTTTTTCTTTTGGTCAGGCACTTCAGTAATTTGTAGATCACCTTATCTTTTTCAGGCTTATTTTTAAGCATTGTTATGGTTCGTTTAGAGTAGCTTTTTGTCTAGATCCAGGTGAGCTCCTCCACTAAAGACTCTTTTGGGGTGTCTGTTAAATTACATCCATATTCAATGAGATTTTTCCGTTCTGACTGGCGGGCACTCAATTTGCAACCTTATGTGAACTCTGGGAATTATTCACCTTACACTTTACCTTCTCCTTAATTTGTTCTTTATCCTGATAACTTGCACTTTGCTTAGCCTTGTGGACTTTCGCCCTATACCTAAGCAGAGTTGTGTTCACCCAAAGATTCAAGGGGTCCCTCAAGATGATTTTTAGATATCTTGTTCTGCACTACTTCTTCTCCAGGACATTGCTCTGAAAATTCTAGCCACTCCCTAGAAATTTGATATCTGTCATCTCTTTTTGGAGACTGTTGGGTTCTATTTGCATTTCCTCTCTTTCTGCGTAGTCTGGAAATTGCCTCTAGGCAGAAACTTGGGGCAATTGTAGGGTTTACTTTAGTATTTCCCTCTGTCAGAGATCATAGTCCTGTGCTGCCAGTTGTTTAATGTCAGAAAACAGTTATTTCAAATAACTTGTATACTTTTCTAGCTGTTTATGGTAGGAGAGTGTATCCAGTAACAGTTACCCTCTCTTGTGTAAAAGCAGAATTCTTTTGTTTAGTTTTAATTGCTTTTAAACTTGTTCTTAAAAAAAAAGAAAAAGACATGTTCTATGTACTCTTGCTTTTTTCATTCTACATTTTGTAATTAAGGTTCATGTTACATATAGTTACAGTTCATTTTGTTCAATGCTTTATTATATTAACTGTGTGTTTATACGGCTGTGAATTTTTCTATTCTCCTGTTGTTGAGGATTTGACTTCTTTCTGGTCTTTTGCTGTTAAGAACAGCTGTGGTGCAAATATTCTTGGATGTGTCTCCTGGGCATATACCTAGGAGTGGAATTACTGGGTCTTAACTAAAATATGTGAACCAGTAAATAGGGTTGGTGTCACTCATTTCAGATCCCTTACTGAAGCCTTCTTTCAGGCTCAGTGCCTTAAAACATGTGAATGTTCAGCTTTAAAAGATAATGCTTTAGAAAAAAAAAGATAATACTAAATTATTTTCCAAAGTAGCTATGTAAATTTACACTCCTTTCAGCAATGCAAAAGAGAATCTGTTGATGTCTCTTCTCCAGTTGCAGCACTGTCAGACACTTCTTAATTTTTGTCAATCTAGTGGGAGTAAAATATCTTATTTTGGTCTTCATTTGCATTTCTCTGATTGCTGGTAGGGCTGAGAATCTTTGTACTTGTTTATAGGCAACATACTTTTCTTCCTCTGGTGACTGCTTTTTGACCTAGTTGGGATGTTCATGGTTCTAAGTACAGAGGTAGAACTTAGAGGAATAAAAGAAAATATCATTTTTTAAAAATTTGCTTGTTTGTTTAGAAAACCTAGCTGTTCATTGAGAAATCATCCTTTTATCTTTCAAAATATGCTATTCATGTAGTTATACCTTATGAAGACCTAGGAATTCAAGAGAAACATATTGCCTGGGTTTTGTTGAAAATCATATATATATATATATATATATATATATATATATATATATTGCAATGGAATTTTCTGGATACTCACATTATACTAAAAGTCTGCCTTAAAACATATCTTTTAATTAATGAAAAGGGGACTCTCCATTTTTGAGTATTTCAAGATATAGGACCTTTCTGTAAGTATCTTTTTCTATGGAATCAATTACAAATAATGTTGGGAGTCTTTTAAGGAAGTCCAACAATGATACCTTTCTTTACTAGCTTGGTTTTGAAGCAGCTGAGAAATAAAACAAGGGCTAAAATAGATGAAGACCAAAATGCTGTATTTTTTACTGATAAAGTCTAGGTTGGAATTGATTATAACTGTCTGCAAGCAAATGTACTTCCTGTTGAATTTCAGGATTGGACAGACTTATAATGCCTGTTGTAAGTAAGGTTGGTCTGAGCCGTGTATGGGGAGTGCCTGACCCTATAGGAGCAGTAAGGATATGTATTTTACAAAGGGGGCATTATCTCCCAAGAGAAAAAGGAGAGATGCTCAGTGCACCATTTTCTGTTTTTTTTTTTTTTTTCTAAATTACTAATCACATTGGTAAATTATCCTCACTCTCTTGGTGCATTCTGAGGAAAGAGACTCAATTAATATTAATTGAGCTGCCTTTACATAGAATGTGGGAGATATGTTTATCTACTAACAAATATGCGATTTTATTAATACATATTTATTATCAACAAATGTCTAGCACTATGCCTGGTTCTTTGGCATATAAAATAAATACTAGGTGGGATCCCTATCTGTTGAGAGTTATCAGTATGTTCATGGAAAATTACTTAAACATATAAGAACAGCTCATATTGGTATAGCTTTTTGTAATTGTAATGTACTTTATATACTTCGTTGTTTCATTCACATTTTAATGGCAAGGACACTAAGGCTCAGTAAAGCAATGTGACTTGTCCATAACCACACCGTGAGACTTGGATCAGGTATTCTGAGTCTAGATCCTGCTTTTTTCCTGCTGCATCTTACAGAGCAGGAAAAAGTTTGCTCTGTAGGAATAGTATGTGACAGGCCCTCAGGCATACAGTAAAGACATGATAGGACATATCAGGGAATGCTTTGTACAGCAGGGTGGACTTGACCTGCTTTTTGAAGGGTGTAGTAGAGTAGAAAACCCCTTATCAGCAGAGGATTATCTGCAGAGGATACCTTCCAAGAGTACCTGTGGATGCCTGAAACTGGATAGTACCAGGCAGTTGACTCTCAAGCAATATGTGTTTGAAGCACAATTATACATGCATTTTCTTCTGCCTCTGCCACCCTGGGGCAGCAACTAGATCTTCTTCCTCCTTCTTGTGATTTTCTTAATAACATTTTCTCTAGCTTACTTTATTGTAAGAATATAGTGTTTGATACATATAACATACAAAATATGTGTTAATCCAGTTTTTATATTACTGGTAAGACTTCTGGTCAACAGTCGGCTATTAGCAATTAACTTTTTGAGGAAGCAAAAGTTATGTGCACATTTTTGACTCTGTGGGTGGGGAGGCAGTACCCCTAACCCCCACATTGTTCACAACTGTATATACTATGTTTTTTCCTATACTATGTACCCATGATAAAGTTAAATTTGTTAATTAGGCACAGTAAGATATTAACAGTAACTAGTAACAAAATAGAGCAGTTAAAACAATCTTCTGTAATACAAGTTATGTGAGTGTGGCCTCACAGATGTCTTACTGTCCTGTACTTGCCCTTCCTTTTGTGATGATGTGTGATGATACAGTGAGATGAGATGAAGTGAGGTGAACGCCATAGGCATTGTGACTTAGTGTTAGGCTACTGTTGACCTTCTGTATTCCTGAATGTGTGTAACCACCCCTTACTTGCAGTAAATGGCTTGGTGTCACTCATTTCAGAGCCCTTGCTGAAGTCTTGGTGTGGGCTCAGTGCTTTCTGGTGTGACACACTGCAGTCACTTGTTCATGTCTTCCACCCCAAAATTTAATGTCTTTTCCATCTGAGTACTTACCGTGCACTGCGGCCATCACTTTTGTAGTCTGAGGTGTGACAGCAGAACTAGCGTGAATTTCTTTCTTCTTCTTCACGATTTCATGCATAGAAAATTTGTTTTTATTTTAGCAACTCCAGCGTATGATTTTTGTTTCCTTAAGTCAAGAACTGTTTACCTTTTCATTAAAAGGAAGCATTTTACAGTTCTCTTCAGCATATGCAGATTGCCAGCACCACTACTCTTGCCTTTGGAGGCCATTATTAAGTAAAATAAGGATTCCTTGAACACAAGCACTAAGTGGTTCATGGGCTTGGAATGTCTACAGTGCAGAGACACTGGACAAAGGGATGATCCACATTCCTGGTGGGAAAGAGCAGAATGTATGAGATTTTATCACACTACTCAGGACAGTGCATAATTTAAAATTTATGAATTACTTATGGAATTTTTCATGTAATATTTTCAGACTTTTGTTTACTGTGGATAACTGAAACATGAGGGAGGACAGCTGTATAGATGTAGAGGAGATATGGGGAAAAGGTGTCCAGTCAGAGGCAGTAGATCAATGGGAGGTGTGAGAGTGTTACTGGAAAGGGTCCCGATCCAGACCCCAGGAGAGGGTTCTTGGATCTTGTGCAAGAAGGAATTCAGGTGATTCCATACAGTAAAGTGAAAGCAAGTTTATTAAGAAAGTAAAGGAATGAAAGAATGACTGCTCCATAGGCAGAGCAGCCCCAAAGGCTGCCGGTTGCCCATTTTGATGGTTATTTCTTGATAGTATGCTAAAGGGGTGGATTATTCATGCCTATCCTTTGTAGACCATGTAGGATAACTTCCTGACATTGCAGGGCATTTGTATACTGTCATGGTGCTGGTGGGAGTATAACAGTGAGAACAACCAGAGGTCCCTCTCATTGCTGTCTTGGTTTTGGTGGCTTTTAGCTGGCTTCTGTACTGCAACCTGTTTTATCAGCAAGGTCTTTATCACCTGTTGTGTGAACCTCCTGTTTCATTCTGTGACTTAGAATGCCTTACCATCTGGATATGCAGCCCAGCAGGCCTCAGCCTCATTTTACCCAGCCCCTATTCAAGATGGAGTTGCTCTGGTTCAAACAGCTGACAAGAGGATTCTAAGGAAACTTGGCTGACTGTACTGCAGGATTCGTGTTGAGCAACCGTGTGGAGAAAGTGTGAATGAATTGATGTTACAGATGACCAAACTTTTGAAAGTTTGGAAGAGAAAGTATTTGCTTTTTGCAGTAGACTTCAAGGAGCCACTGAAAGCTCTTAATTTGAGGAATAACATGATTGAAACAGTCTCTAATCTACATTTTCAGCCCCTTTATGCATCTCCCATCCCCAGTTTCATTTGACCTGTATATAAACTTCTGTTAGTTTTTCTTTTATCTTTTAGTCTTATTTTCTGAACTTAGTATATTAGTTATTATTAATTGAAGAAATGCTGGTTTTTCTGTTTTCTAAATTAAGTCCTCTTTTTCCTTATTCTTTTTATTCTATTTGTTTCTATTCTAGTATCTTATAATTTAAATTGGAGAAACTGTCTTTTCCTTGGCCACTTTACAAACAATATATTTCATTAAAAACAGCATATAGACAACCTGTTACTTTGTGCTTGATTCATGTTTTTATTTCTACATTTTCCTCTTGAACTAGCTTAAGAAATAACCAGATTCTTTCTTTGCCTTTCAGGTCCTACCTCGAACATAAGACCTCCATGAACTATATGCTGGCAACACGCCTCTTCCCGGACAGGTAGAGATTTGCTAAACTTTAAATTTAGGACTAGATCACAAGATTAAAAGAAAGTACATGTAAAAGAAGGAAAGATACCTTATTAAAGTCTTTGTGTAAAATCTCTGATAGAAAATAAGTCCTTTAGAAAGCATGATTTAATGATTCACTTTTCCAGAATTTATCATGAACTCTCAGCACTTTGTAACATTTCCAAAAACCAAAAATTAAACTATCAAGATCCTTGGGCAATTCTAACAGATGCCTTAAACTTTATTCTTTTTTAAGGAAGGCCTTTACTCAGTGCCATTATACTTTAGATGCAGTTTTAATAGACACGATTATCTGTTTTTCCAGACCAGAAGAGGTTAGAATTATCAGATTGGAAAAAGCGGAGGGGAGGTAATTCATAAAGTTAATACACTGAGACTTATAAGAAATGACAACTGATAATCTCAATACAAGGGAAAACCGGAGGAAATGATGGAAAACAGACATTGGAATTTAAATAGCACAGCAATCAGGGCTGCTTAGTCCCACATACTTTTGTAGCCCCTGAGACATAACTGCATTGCAGTAGAGTTCATTAATTGATTATCAAAATAAGGCACCCTAGTTATTTAGAGAAACCTACATTGTTTGAGGATATATGTACTTTTTTGAAGGATTCGTAAAATAGATACCCAGATTTTAACCATCTCTTGCAATTTCATGATCTAGTATCAGGAAATATATGGGATTTGCAATTTCTCTCTGTAAATTTGTGGTAATTACGATTGATTAAGTGATCACATTGTGTAGCTTCTAATGAAGGAGATCTTTGGATTTACATAGAAGACATGGAATCTTATTTCTTTATATAAAACCTGTGGGTTTTTCCTTCTCTCTATGAAAACTTTTACGAGGTGTTTTTTTGTTTGTTTGTTTTTTGTTTTTTTTATCTTTAGAGTACAGATACTTTACCAGGATGTGTTCTGATACGTCATTTTTCATTATTTTGGTCATGCAGTGAGTGTGCCCTTTCAGTCTGTCAGTTGTGGGAAGTATTTCCCTTATCCTTTCTTTTCTGTCCTTGTGGAATTCCTGTTAGATAAATTTTGGCTGTAGCCTCCATATTTCTTTACTGTTTTTATACTTTTAGTCTTGCCTCTTAGCTTTAAATTCTTGGAGATTTCTTGGATTTTGTCTTCTAAAACTAAATTCGTCTTCAACCATGTCTATATTGTTATTTATTACCCACACAGGATACGGGTGTTTAATTTAGTTTTTTATTTTGGCAAGCATGTTTTTAATATACAAGAACTATTTTTGCTTTTTGATTAGTTTTAGTATTTCATGGATGTAATGTCTTTTCAAATCTCTTTGACTATTTTAGATTGTTTAAAGTTCCTTTCTGTTTTTTGAATTTTTTTTCTTTTTTTAATTATACTTTAAGTTCTGGGGTACATGTACAGATTGTGCATTGTTACACATGCTGTGGTGGTTTGCTGCATCCAACCCCTCGTCCGCTACATTAGGTATTTCTCCTAATGTTTACCCTCCCCAATCCTCTGTCCCTACTATACCTTCCATAACCCCCACCCCCACCCCCAACAGGCCCCAGTGTGTGATGTTCCCCTCCCTGTGTCCATGTGTTTTCATTGTTGAACACCCACTTATAAAAGAGAACATGTGGTGTTTGGTTTTCTGTTCTGTGTCAGTTTGCTGAGAATGATGGTTTCCAGCTTCATCCACGTCCCTGCAAAGAACATGAACTCATCCATTTTTATGGCTGCCTAGTATTCCATGGTATATATGTGCCACATTTTGCATTATTTTAATTATTCTGGATTAGTTGTATGTATTCAACTTATTCTTTCTAGTTTTAACTTTTATATATCTGCAATTGTATGATAATCTTTGATTGTTCAATCTTATTTAGAAGTAATGAACTGTTTACTTAAAATAGGTAGTTTGCTTCACTTGATATATAGGTCTGTTTCTGAATTGACATGAACCCTACACTTGAGGCTGTATCTTTCTATTCTTGGATTTCCCAGGAAGGGGAAGGAGGGCAGAGTAGGCATTCTGGGTACCACTACATAAGCCAAAATTAGGAAGCATTTGCCTAGGAGTAGCAAAAAATAAACAATTTGAGACATAATAATATATATGCCTCTTTGTTAATATATTAAAATAGTGAGACCTAGCAGCAGATCTAATACCTACCATAATTTCAAAGAGTGATACAGTTTTTCAAAATACTTGTAACAATTCCAAAGTAATATGAAAAAAGATGCATTTTTTTTTTTTTTTTTTTTTTTTTTTTTTTTATTATTTTTTTTTTTTTTTTTTTTTTTTTTTGGTAATGAAGTCACATTAATCCACTTGTGGGCTGGGCTTGGGCTTGGTGGCTCACACCTGTAATCCCAGTACTTTGGGAGGCCGAGGTGGGTGGATCATGACCTCAGGAGATCAAGACATCCAGACTAACATGGTGAAACCCTGTCTCTACTAAAAATACAAAAATTAGCTGAGCGTGCTGGCAGGCACCTGTAGTCCTAGCTACTCAGGAGGCTGAGGCAGGAGAATCGCTTGGACCCAGGAGGCTTAGATTGCAGTGAACGGAGATTGCGCCACTGCACTCTAGCCTGGGCGACAGAGTGAGACTTCGACCAAAAAAAAAAAAAAAATCCACTACTGTGGATAGTTTCTTATATTTATATGGAGGAGATGCTAAGTTTCAATTAGAGGCTGTAAGTTTTTTCTATCCAAGTTTGTATACTCCCTGCATTCTTTCTTTAGGCCCCAGTTAACAGCTCCTGCTTATGAAGCATTCTGAAAACTTTGATTAAAAAACATAATTTTCCCTGTTTAGCTAAGAAAAACCCTCGTGATCTACTTACCTACCTTTTTAGCCTAATCTTCACTTTTCCACACCAATTTATGGCCATTTCTCCTTGCTCTTTTATACATCCTTATTCTTACAAACTCCCCTTCTTTTGGAATGGCCTTCAATCCATTCCTAAATTCTTCTATCCTAGACTAGGAAGAGGTACTCCCAG